TTCAACTCAGATTTTCCATGGGTAAGTTAGGTCAAATCAACACTATATGTGCATGAAATGCTTTTACAACTGTTTTGTATTTAAAGATAATGCATGCAGTCAATCCTGCACCTGGTTGCTGTTTGGGTCTGACTGACAGTGTCTTTCCTGATTTGTGTTTATCTTTAAAGGAATAGATGAAAATTTACTGAACATGAACTCTCAGGCCATCCAAGATGCAGATGAGTTTGTTTCTTCATCAGAACAGATTTGAAGAAATGTAGGATTATATCCCCTTACTCGTCCATGGATCCTCTGCAGTGAATGGGTGCCGTCAGAATGAGAGCCCAAACAGCTGATAAAAACATCACAATAATCCACACCACTCCAGTCCATCAATTTAACATCTTGTGAAGTGAAAAGCTGCATGTTTGTAATAAATCTATCAAGGCATTTTAACTTTAAACCTGTCGCTCTCACATCAAAATCCACCAACATCATTGTTTTTAGAAAATGTTAAACTTGTAAACAGTGCTTGATCTGTTTTCACTGAAGGAAGCAATATTATGTACTGTGGACTATTTTAGACGGAAGCAGTGGTTTAAAGATAAAAACATCTTAATGATGGATTTGTTTCTTACAAACACAGCTTTTCACTTCACAAGATATTAACTGATGGCTTGGAGTGGTGTGTATTACTTGAGGATTATTGTGATGTTTTTATCAGCTGTTTGGACTCTCATTCTGACGGCACCCATTCACTGCAGAGGATCAATTGGAGAGCAAATGAAGTAATGCTAAATTTCTCCAAATCTAGGATGACCTGAGAGGGTGAGTAAATGTTAATTTTTTGGTGAAGAGTTGAAAGTGCCATATAAGCTGAAGTGGATGTGTGTGTACCAACAGCTAAACAGCTGAAGCACCGCCTTGCCCAACAGAGCTTCTTCTTAGAACTGCAACTCTGGCAGGACATTGCTGTACATCTAGAGTGCAAACTCCAGACGACCCATGATGGCGTACGTGAGAACACCCTCATCCTGTAGTTTAAAGTGTAACCAGCTGCTATTTTCATTTTGAGCTCATGCCAATGATATGAATCTGAGAGCTGGACATGATATGATTGGTTGCTGTGTCAAAGCTGACTATAAACTAAAGGATTCATCCAGATCTTCAGATCCACCTGTTTGGCAAAGATCAATATTTATAGATCAACTTGGTGAAGAAAACAAAGTGTTTCACACAAACATACTGTGTATCGTGGGCTAACCACATCTTTGTTAACCCAGATAACCACTGTAAACAACTGATAAATATGATCCTCCTATTGAAATATGGTTTGTATATGTGCTGAGACACGTAGTCACATCCGCTCATGTTGTCCCAGCTCATAACATATGTTTTGAATATTTATAGCAAGCGGAAGATAACTGGATTTTTTTATTTTTAAATGACAAATCTAACAGCCATCTTTTGGTATAAGAAATGTTTGTTCATGCCAGTACTTAGGGGGGACTTCATACTATATCAGTCATGGTTTCCTTCTAGTCTTATTGTAGTATCAGTGTTAGCTCTTTATTATACTATGTTCTTTATTATACTTATACTATGTTAGTTTAAATTTTTAATTTATAGTAATTTTATGTTTGTCTTTTTTTTTTTGTATTATATTTAAAGCACAAAGGGGACATAAATTATACTTTGAAATGGATTAAATCTTTATTACAAAACTATGTTGATCAGCTGATAATTTAGTTCATTAAATATCTTCTAGATCTTTTCATTCAGGCATACATTTTATTTCATAACTAGTTTTGTATTTCATAACTAATGGGAAGACAATAGCATCTGTTATTCATGTTAATGTTTACTTACTGATAAAATACATTCAAATTTACATACAAACCGCATCAGAACTTTAGATAACAGAAGAAAAAAATTAAACATCCAAATAAAAAAATCACTTTCATACATCAAATGACGTCACACATCAGAGCAGGTCATTATTTACCGCATGACTCACAAGGGTCTGATAAAACTAGATTTCCGGTGGTGACAAAAACAGTATCAATAATTCATCAGTCCGCTTCAATATGGCAAACCAAATCATTTCAGGTCAGCCAAAATAAATCTATAAAACTTTACAAATATGTATACAATTAAATATACACATTTATATAAAAAAAATATTTATCATCTGAATAACCACTGTCATGAAACGAAACAAAGCATTATTTAAAAAACAAAAAAGAAGTCATACTTTATATATATATATATATATATAAAGGATATATTTCTAGCAAGGGCAGTGTGTGCTTTTACAGTTGCAGACTGTGCTCTTCACACATAATTACACAATTAGACAGGCCTCTATCACACTCCTCAACGTTGGTCTGCTTCAACATACACGGGTCTCCTCGTTTGAAGTAAAGCACAGACATCATGGTGAACAGTTCAGGTGGAGGTCGCGAGCATCCCGACGAGCCGGCTGATGGCGTCACTGGACCACTTCAAAATAGTGTAATATGGCCATTATGTGCTGAGGCATGAACACATAACAGGTGTAGACGGCCATCGCTGCCACCGTGATCAGGAGGGAATCTGATAGTCTTATTAAGGAAATTATGTTGCAGAAGGAAACAGGGTTATTATTAGGGATGCACCGATATGAAAATTTTGGCCGATACCGATAACGCTTTATTTTTGAAAGCCGATAACCGATATGTTGGCCGATAAATCTATATCCAAATTGTTATATACTTTTTGAGAGCCTGATTACAAAAAAGGTCTCATCATTAAAAGCCACATCCCAAACACTTCAACATAAGCAGCCTAGTTTGAACGGTGTACGTTTAAAAAATATTTTTACTCTCCCATTACCAAATTTAGTCATAAAAAAGTCTTACAAATAAATAAAATAATGCATAAATAATGCAAACAAGTCACTGGACATCATTACACGTGTAAAGAATCAAAATGAATGCGCCATAGATCAATAAAACGGAATAGCCTCTGCACGGACAATAATTAAATGATTTTAATTACTAAACCATATTGTTGATGAAAATAATAAGAGAAAAATACAAGTGGTTGTTGTTATTAATAATATATATCAATGATTTTGAAAAAGTAACAAATGAATACCACTGTTTTAAATAGCAGCCATTGAGCTGCAGCTCAAGCTGAAGCTGAAGAGCTGAATGAACACGGTAAACTGAAGCGTTTTGCTGGCAGCTTATTTAACTCAAGGAAATGCATCCTGAGATTAATATTAATACAACATAAACATAATATTACAACTTATATATGAAATGACAAATGACGCAGTTATTGCATGCTATAGTCAGAATGTGTGATCCTGTTGTGGATGCGCTCTTCCCATAACAACGCGCTGAAACACGGCAACTAAACCCAAAGAATTCACAACGTTTTATTATAATAATGTTCTCATTAGAATGTTATATACACGACATTCCCAATCATAGTTCTTAATGTTGTGCACTGCTGTTTGAGCTGCGTGTGCTGAGCTAAAGACGATCACCGGTAAACTGAAGCGCTCTTTTAACTTAATCAAACGCATTCTATATGAGATAAATCAGATATACATCAAATAAACACAATATTACAACGTACAATTGCAAAAAAGGCTGCAAACGAACAGCGCGCATCTGAAGTGTCTCTGAAGGAAATAATGCATTATTTATCGGCTTTAAGATATCGGCCAAATTTTCTTATCAGGCCGATACCGATAACAGAAAAAATGAGCATTTATCGGCCGATACCGATATGGTGGCCGATATATCGTGCATCCCTAGTTATTATAGTATACTACAACTATAAAATAAAAAATACAACTTTATTTAGTTTAACTTGATGTACTGAAATACCTAACACTGAAATAAAACTATATAGACATATAGAAAAACACAACAAACCCCAAATTACCAAAACTTTAAAATGAAAATAAAAACAGAAAATCTAAAAATGAAACAGTTATATAAAACATGAATAAAATCTCAATGCTACTTGAATAACACTAAAAGGAAACCATGACTGACATCTAGTGAATAGATTTTTTTTCCTTGGAGTGGAGTATTGCTTTAAAATGGAGCAATGAAATTATGAATAATTATAAAATGTTACCTGCTTTTTCCTACTTTTGGGCCTTTCTCAAATACAGTAATACACACAATTTATACTGTCGATAAAACATGAAGCATTTAAAATATAATCTTGATGAGATGTAGAATTTAGCTACGAGTGTCCAAACTTTTGACTAGTACTGCATGTGTTCAAAACATCGTAAAATAATTCTCATAATTAATTGAATTTTATATATTTTTTAATCAACAGATTGCTAATAAACATAGATTTATTATATAGCTATGAGCACTGTTTTTTTGCCAGCTTCAAAAAAAAAAAATATATATATATATAGTATAGCTGTAACATTTAAAGGAATTTTACATTTTATCAGCAGGCTACAAACACATATTATTATATATTATTGTTGTTACAAACACTATGTTAAACAAGAAATATTCGCCAGCTTTAAATAAAAACATTTAATTGAATGTTATATTTTATCAGAAGAATATAAGAAAAACAAATGTTTTAAAGCAGCACTATATGTAACTTTGGGCGCTCTAGCGGTTAATAAACAGAACTGCACACATCCCGCGGAAGAACATTCCAACCGGAGCTACTTCTCTAAGTTTATGTCTATGGCGATTCACGCAGGTGTGTGTTACTCCGCAGCGGTGACGACCCGACCAGGCTACAATAGTCCTAATATAAGTATTTATTATAAATGTACCGTAGTGATTCGGAATAAGACAAAAACGCGGTTTGGAAGATGAATTCATGATGCAAATTGTGAACAGAAAAAGTTACATAGTGCTGCTTTAAGGTTAGAAAGATTACAGACGTACAAGCCCTAAAACTAGTCAGTTGACATTACTCAGGTGACCGCACTAAAACACATTTCTCATCACAGAAAAAGTGAATGAAGCAAGTGAAACTGCTCACACATTCCCACAGTCGTCTTCCTAGAAGAGACCTGAAAATCAGGCCATGTCAATTATTCTCATCTTAAACTTCACACCCACAAGAAGCACGTTACACGACTCCTTCAGTTCAAAACTACCCACCATTTAATTCTTCTGAACTTGCATATTATTACTCAAACACATATAACTCTATAAAGCAACTAATACGAATCAGCTGTTGCGTAAAGAAGATGTAATAGATTTACGATCGGCACACCAGACTTCTAGTCAACGCTGGACGAAAATACAGACATTAATTCGTTCAAGTAAAGACATAATTTTAGTACATTATAACAATATTGAGTTGTTGAACACACTTGAATAGTAAGGAATCCACCGGATACCTTACGTGGACCTAAGAACTCTTCCCAAACGTTGTTTCTTACACATAAAGCGCTGTATTTTACGGGGAAAAAAGGATACTGAAGATAGTTCTCTCCCAGGGCTCCAACATATACAGAGCTGTTACGAGCACATATTGGTAATAAAACCAAGATAATTGTTTCCAGGCATCTCCTAACGCCATATTTTCAATCGTCTCGCGTTGGTCCCGCCGCTCCCTTCCGGTGCAGATCATAACAAAATAAAAGTCTTGTGCTGGAAAAGAAATGGAGGGATATTACGCAGTACCAAAATAAAAGATAACACGCTTCTACTGTTTTACTAACAGGTAATGCTTTAATATCGGCATACTTCACAAAGACGCCGCCGCCATATTTGATAGGAAGTTCATTTTCTATAAAATCAAAATGAAAACATTTATTCAAATGATACCGTTCACGTTCAGAGCACATTTAAGGGGTCATATGATGCGATTTCAAGTTTTCCTTTCTCTTTGGAGTGTTACAAGCTGATTGTGCATAGATAAGATCCCTGAAGTTGCAAAGACTAAAATCTCAAAACCAAAGAGATATTCTTTATTAAAGTTAAGACTCTGCCACGCCCCCCTAAAACGGCTCGTTCTAACACGCCCCCACATATCTACCTCACTATGGTTTAATTTGAATCATTTCCATGCCCTCTACTGTGTATAAAAATACAACTTAATAAAAGGGAAGAACATATCTGAGGCAACAGAACAACTTTTATGCAAATATGAAATGTAATTTACAGGAAGTGGATCACATGAAAGTGTTTACATTTTACAACAACAGAATATAAATCAAATAAATTACATGTCTAGCCCTATTCCTTTCCCCAAAAAAACGTAACTCTCTCTATGTACTGTACAGCAAAGTTGCCTGGTGATGCACATCACCAAAACATGTGGTTTGTATTTATAAGTCCAGTAAATGTCCTTAGCAGTGACTTTAAATTAAACCTTACTTTTAAAAGCTGACCACATGGATAGATATTCATTGTTTTGAACTAAACATCCTTTATGTAACTGTAACTTTGATGGTGTTCATTTTCAAAACCTTTTAAATAAAAACTTATTTTAAGAGGAACGGGAAAAAACTTATTTTGAAAGAATTACTTTTTTTTTAGCTTTTCAAATAATTACCAGCTGTGCCATCTTCATCTTCATCGGAGTCAAAGTAAATGCTGTCATACTCCGGAGTCTGTAGCTTGTTTGCTGTGGAAGTGCCGTCACTGGTCCCAGACGTTTGACCTGTACATTAAATATTACATTTGATTAATACATTTCAATTGTAACACTGATAATTGCACGTGTTTTTGTGACACCTTGAGCTGAAGATGCCGTCCAGCTGCACTCCAGGCCCTTCATGGTGCTGCTGAGCTCTGCCTCCATCTCCTTCTCAAACTCATCTCCGCTGGAGGACTCGCTCTCCCCCGTCAGATACTCTCTGATCAGCTTCTTCTTCTGCTCCGGGGTCCCGTTCAGAAGAATATCCAGCTCATCCTCAGAACTGAGCAGAAACAGTGTGTCAGTCTGATCTCTGAAGAGCATTTATGGTGTTCATGTTTACAACTCGACTCGAAAGAGATGCGACTAAATAGCCATGTACACTAACACCAAAGTATAACTATAAAGCCTATACAGTAAAATACATAACCCTGATATTGATGTTCACATTTTTTGTTTACATGTGTGCACATAAGAGAATGTTTTCTGTCATGTACCTGCTTCCGGCTCCTTCCTCATCACTCGGCTCTTCAATCTCATATGAATCATAATCATCTTTTCGGTTCATTGTTCTTATTCCGAGTAAAAAACTAGGAAAATAAAACGCGTTTTTACTTCACTTCAGCACCGGAAAGCAAGTTATAGAACACTTCCGGGTCACGCTTTTTGAATTCAAAATAAAGCTACCAAAACAAAAGCCGTTAAAAAGACGAATATTTAACTATTTAAAATCACCATGATTACGTTGCGTCATTTTTATATTTAATAAATACTCGAAGGCTTTTTAAAGTTCTCCCAAACTAAGGAGTTGAAAGTGGCAGCTGGATTAAAGAAATCCCACTGTATACATTAAAGGGGTCATATGATGTTGCTAAAAATAACATTATTTTGTGTATTTGGTGTAATTAAATGTGTTTATGCGGTTTAAGGTTTAAAAACATATTATTGTTTCTCCTCTATGCCCCGCCTTTCTGAAACGCGTCGATTTTTACAAAGCTCATCGTTCTGAAAAAGCGAGGTGTGCTCTGATTGGCCAGCTATCCAGTGTGTTGTGATTGGCCGAATACCTCAAGCGTGTGACGGAAATGTTACGCCCCTCACCATACTGTGATGATGCCGTGTCCGGCTGGAGCGATGAGACAAAAACATGAAACCATGTCTGCATTTGTGATCGGAGAAATGACAAACAACAAGTGCTACTCTACACTGCTCAAAAAACTCACTTTAAATATATAGAATATAAAAACTATAAAAAACGTACTTACAGTACATGAGTCAGAACAGCCGGCATTGTAGTCTACTCTCCCAGGATCAGTAAACGGTCCTCCATAAAATGTGCTGCACACATCTGAATATTTGGGTTGAAGTGTTCTGGAACAGTGTTGTAAATACAACTTAACCACTGATTTCTAGTCGTGTCCATTTTTGGAAGACCAAACAAAGTAGTTCAGCTTTCACAACGAAACACAGCGTCTCCACACACGGTGGCCTAGAGTGAACGGCGGCGGCCTAAAGTGAGCAGAGGCCGGGGGCTAAAGTGAGCAGAGGCGGCGGATTCGACGAAGGAGCGTCCAGCGGACTTGCAGCAACCACATGTGACAACCCCGGGCTGGACTCTGCTTCGTCCACGGTGAAAACCGATCCGGCGATCCACAGCGCAAAGTTGTAGTATTTCCTCAGCGACCAGCACGGATCAGCTCCAGGCACGACGAAGCAGATATCATCCTCTTTTGGAAGACTAAACAAAGTAGTTTCGCTTTCACAACGAATCACACATCGCATTCACAGAATAAAAGTTACGCCTTCTTTCTTTGCGTGAACATTTGGGCGCCATTATGCAAATCTTCCCACATAGTGATGTAGACATGTGGGGGCTGACTCTTAAAGTCCCCCTGTAGTGAAAATCAAGTTTTTTATGTTATTTGTCTATGTGGTGTTTTTAATATGCTTTTAGACAAACCATGTGCCAATCTAATAATCAACACCATTGCTGTGTATTTTCTCCTTAAAACTGTAGTTTCCCAAAGGCTGACCCAGAAATGCAGTTTGAAACAGCCCTTGGTTTGCTACGTCACAAACCAATAACGTCAAGGCATCGATTTCTATCATTAGCATGCAAAATATACCAATACCAGCACAAAACCAAAAATAAATCAGAGCAAAAAACCCACGAAGCTGTGGTTTAATGTGAATTTAGAACCGCTAACTTGCATTATAACCCGTGGCAACAGTGTAAAAGTAGCCCGCACTTCACACGCGGGCGCGAATTAAGAATCACAAACGGCTGCATTCGAGTCTTCAAGGCATTTTAGGACACAACATCGTCAAGTAAGTAACTTTAACGAATGTTACAGTATTCACTGTAGTTGTCCACTAGTAAAAACATAGTTTTATCAGTCATTATCGGTGTATACCATTGTTTTGCGGTTACTACAGTTCAGTTGCTCAAGAGGCGCTGGCTGGTGTGTGACTGAGTGGAGGCGGGACTAGTTTGCATATTCATAGCTCCGCGTATAGTAAATGAGGCAAGGGTGTAGAGTTACATTCAAGCTATTTCAAGGCATGAGAAAATTATTTTCACAAGAAAAAACATGTAAATATGTCATTTTGATGATCAAAAATAAGTTTTAAGGGATAAAATATTTGACTACAGGGGGACTTTAACTTTTATAAAGAATATCTCTTTGGATTTGAGACTTTAGTCTTTGCAACTTTACAGATCTTCTTTATGCACCAAGAGCTTGTAACACTCCAAAGAGAAAGGACAAATTTAAATCGCATCACATGACCCCTTTAAAAAATATTTTGCCAGTAAGCAAACACTGCCTTTATTTATTTAGTCCATTAATTCAAACCATCAGTTTTTCTGTTGACATTAAAAAAAATCTCACTTAAAGTAAACAGCATCATTTATTTTTTGATATTTTCATGGTCATTTTATCAGCGTTTATTTCAGCACTCCTCCATCTGAATAAATGGACGCTTTGGTCACATATTGTGAAAAAGAAAACAACATTCATATACAGTGCACTTAAAAAAAGTCTGGAGAAAAAATGCATCCATATATGATTTCTTTTTAACAATGTCATATTAATCTACATTTTAAGGCAAACATACTGAAGCGTTATTTGTTAGGAATGAAAAAAAGAGAAACAAACTGCTTTGCAGAAAATTAGTCTGATTACGATGATCCATAGCTATACGATGAAAACTAACACATGTACAAGGCTTTGAGTGACCATACACTTTAATTGTAATAACAATCAGCTCAACTTGAACAAGATATCTGAGCAGCATCCACACACAGATCACCAAAACTAACTTCGAAGATTACAACAGAGAAAACAAAAGCAAGCGAAACGAAACAAATGGGACAAAAAGTGCCGAAACGAGAATGACGTAGCGAATCCCATGGAAAACAATTAACAATTAAAAGTTAAAAATGTGTGATTAAATGAAGTCGTATATCTTGTGCTGTGTGGATCAGGTGATCTTCCACAGTGGACTGCCTCACTTTAGGGGGGGTTATGGAGGGAGTATGGTGTCTCTGGTAGCGGCAAGTATAGACGTCTCTTTAGACAAACTGACCCCAGGTATGTTCTCTCCTCCATCTTCCGAATGAAGACGAGACCAAAGCAGGGAAAGCCCTATATGGAGAACCTGGCTCCAGGACCTAAGTGTCCCCTTTCAGGACCCCCAGACAGCTGTGCAGCAATTGTAGATTCCCCTGGAGAGAGATATTAAAGCAATAAACCCCAAGAAGCCGTGGTTTACAGTGAATGTATAACAGCTAAGGGGGTTTAATGCCCTTTAGCTGTTATAAATTTACTGTAAACCACGGCTTCACAGGGCTTATTGCTTTTATAAAACGGTTATTCCATATAATGCAGTAAGGTTTCACAAAATAAAACAGTGCAAATGAAGTGTAATGATATTAATAAAAACAGTATTCTTCCACCAATCAATGTAGTTGTGGTTGCAACAAAGTGGTTGCCGAGCAACACACAAACGCAAACAAAGGTGTATGTTTGTAGAGTAATTTACAACAGCTTCGAATGTGGCTCAGCCAATCAGAATCAAGGACCGGAACTATCCATTTTATAAATTAGTAGGGATGTAACGATTAACCGCGAGCCGGTTGAAAATCGATTCAAATATGTGACGATTCAAATCGGTTGAGATGCTAAACAAATCGCGATTCATTTAGGTGTAGGAGTTTATATGAATGTATGTCTGAGGAGAACTTACTGTCTTTAGAAAAGGTTTGATGGTGTTTCTTCTTTTCATCTTGCCTCTGTATAATGCATATTAAAGTTTATAAGCGCAGCGCTGCTTTGTTTACAGCAGAAAACAAGGAAACGCTTTAAGCGCCACCTGCTGGCAGAGAGTGAATCTGCGTCTCATTCAGCTCGTCTGCTGTTTCGGTTTCATGCAGATATTATCTATTGCTTCACAAAACTGAAGTCAAACCATTCTGTTTTTCAAATTTCGAAATGATAATCTAATTTAGATTAAAAACTGCTCATGTTGCATGTATGCAGCATCTTTGTTTGGATCAAGATTAAAATGCAGTGGTTGCCTCTCATTTTAAATGGAAAGAGCACAGACAAAGCCTGATTTTGTTTATATGAAGAGATTTATTTGATTTGGGGCTTGTTTTAAAATGTTAATTTAGTTTTGTTATTTACATTTACATTATATTTAAATTTTGTTATTTAGCAGATGCTTTTATCCAAAGCGACTAACAAATGAGGACAATAGAAGCAATCAAAACTAACAAAAGAGCAGTAATATGCAAGTGCTATTTAGTATATTATTATAGTGTTATATTTCAATTTCACAAAGAAATGTGCAGCATTTTGTCCAAGCAATAATAAAAGGACACATTTAATTTATAATTTGTCCTAAATCTCATTTAGTAAAAAATAAAATAAAATCGTGAATCGAATCGTGAGTTGAGTGAATCGTTACATCCCTATAAATTAGGAATAAACAATATGTGGATTTGACATAATTGAGAATCAGAGTATAAAGTGAATGGAAACCTTGGCATGTTTGAGTTCCAGCTCGGCCAGTTCCACCAAGTTCTTTCTGAACGCTGCTACTCGCCGTGTCTTGAAATCTATCAGTTCTAAATGGAACACAAGCATTAATATTTAGTGAGCAAACAGCCGTTTAGCAGATGCTTTTATTCAAAGTGATTCCCAGTCATTTTAATAAACAGACAACCTCCCTGGAGCAACCTGAGGTTAAATGAATATGCCACATAACAATTTAACATCGAGGTAATTTTCAAAAACGCATTTCCACATTAACACCTTGTCCAGACAAAATTATCTGTCCAAATTAAAAGCAAAAGTAGAGCTGCACAATTTGGGGAATACAACTTTAAAAGAAATGTGATTTTTTTTTGATAGTGAAAAATGTAAAAGAAAAAAAAAAAAGTGTAATTAAATAACCAACATGACTAATATTATATATATATATATATATATGTTATTACTATTTTTATTGTAATTTATATTATTTATTTATTATTATGATTATTATTACTAAATAAAAAACATTAAACAAATTAATATTTCTGTTGCACTATTTCACCATAAAATAAAAACATTGTGTTTAAGAAGAAGAAGAATTTTATTACAGTATAACTTTAAAATTACAATACTAAGATTTTTGGCCATCTTAATTTTTAAAGCTTAAACAATCACGTTTTTATTTGATGAAAATCTCAAGGAGCCTTTAAAAAAATTTAAAAAATAAAATCTAACCTTGTGATGTTTAATCAAAATGTTATAACTGGATATTCTAGTGAAAATGACAGACTTCTCCAATCATTTATTCTGATTAAACCCACTGCTGGAAACTTGCGCACTTCACTCTAAAATATGCTTTGCATATATTTAATTAAATCATAGCCTTTTGATAATAGCAATAGTAGATTTTGATAGTAGCAATTTGATAATAACATTAAGCAATATCACAATTTAAGTTTATTTCAGGTTTATTTGGATTATTCTGCCCTAGTGTAAAATGACACAATCAGAACCAATCAGTGAAGTCGGATTTTGGACCAATGACATATAACGGTAGGTGGAGCCAACTAGTGTGACATCTATTAAAACCAAGCAATCAACAAATGGCAATTGCCTGTGCCAGTTTAGAAGAACAGCAAATTGTATTACATTGCGTCTGGTTAGGAAACGGTGCAAAATCAAGTATTTTTGTACTCAACTACTTTGAACGATACACATGAAGTACCTTGTTTTGCAGATTCAGAGATTTTCTCAAACTTCTGACAGCACACTTGCTGTGTGGTTTCTGCTTGAAGGACGTCCTTGTTTTTAGCTCGGGCTTTATCCAGAGCTTTATTAGCGTTCTCATAATCAACTAATGCTCTTCCTCGTCTGTACAGGAGGTCCTGTGGAAAGAAAACATTTGAAATTGTAATAATATTTCCCAATATTACTGTTTTACTGTGTGCTTTGATGCGCAAGTTCTTGCGACCCTAAACATTTGTACCATACCACTCTATTTTTGGTTTTGGCCATTGTGCATTCCACTACTAGCGAAGCGTTCACCAGGGAGTCATAAACCATCATTCAACCTACAGCTAAACACAAAGAAGCTCAAGCCAAAGTAAATAATTTCTCAAAAAGGTGGCTGATGTCGTGGCCTCTCTCTCCACCCCCTAATTTCTAAAGCGGAGTCACATAAAAAAGTCACATGACATGGGAAGAAGGCTACAGACTGAACTGACCTTCACTCCAGCCACAAGAACCCCATCTGCAGACTTCACCACGTTCTTGAAGAAATCCTCCAGCTTTTCCTTCTTGTTTTTCCCTCGTACACTCAGCTGTAATTACAAGTGAAAAATCCAAGGGCAAATGAACAATTAAATGCTCAAATCTTTTTTCATTTCTACTGAGAATGACACTTGCATTTCTATATTTGTTTTGGTTTCAAAATATGTCATTAAATATTCTTCTGGTTTGCTTTGCACAATCTCATCTGCTGTTTGCACTGATGTCAGACTTATTCATTTGTTATGAATAATCTGATTCTTTTGGTTTGTGTCCAAGTTTCAAAAAAAAAAAAGAGAAAAATAATTAAAGGGTTAGTTCACCCAAAAATTAAAATTAGGTGTTTTACTCACCCCAGAGCCATCCTAGGTGTATATGACTTTCTTCTTTCAGACGAATCCAAAACGTAATAATCACTTTAATGTAGCTTGCGCCAACAGTTGTAC